GGAAGTGGATGAGATAGAGATAGGTCTTGCTAAAAGTGTGTCAACTAAACTAGTCCGTTCAACAGGTGGTAAATATGGTATAGAAGGACATAAAGGTCTAAGAAAACCTAGGGGTAATACCGGTGGTGATAATACAGGGACAGGAGGTGGGGTAGGGGGTCGCACAAACTGTACATCTGGAGGAAATGGAAAAGTAAGTCTCATGGGTACTCGGATGGGGATAGGGTAAGCTCGTGGGCCTGACCCATTTCTATCTAACAAAAAGATAATAGATCCAGTGTGGGTGAATCGTTGTTGCTCCCAGTCGTGCACCCATCTTCCCTCGGGATCATATCTGATCGAGACGCTGAATTGGTACGGTGGTCGAGCCATCAATGTTCTTACCTAATAAACATATTCACACACAACACACATAGCAATAAAAGGGTGAGACAATTCGATTCAATCTCCGGCAGCAAAAGACATATAAGGGTTTCAATCACACAATTAATTATCAACACCCATAATCTACCAAGCAAATGCATATGCCATGAATGAGAAATGATGCAAGTCTATTATTATAACTTAGTACATTTTGACACATGCATGTGGGCCCAAAACCATCAATCTGTTTCTTTTACTCAGGGAAGGATCAGGAGTTTCACTGTTACTTAACTGCCAACTTTGTTAATCTCATAATACAGTAACAACTCTACTAATACAAGAATCTCTCGGGACCAGTCAGGATAGTAAAGTTTTGCAGTGAGAGTCCACAGCACAAGGTGGCGAGCCTTGGCCACTATCAGATTCAATCACACGTCACTATCCCCAAGACTAGCCTGGAGCCGCCCCTAGATTTCTTATACTTCCCTGTCCACTCATCACACTATCACATGTTCATGATGCATGTCTTCATTCCTAATTAATTTAATTAGAGAAAAATTTTAATTTTTCTTTTTTGTTAAGTACAATCCTTAACTTTTTCTTTTCTCAATGAAATTTGACAGAGTCTCCTCTGTAAATAAGATATTCCAAAATTTTCTTCTTCCTGTAAAACAACCAGAAAAAAATCCAGAATACTTCTAATTTATTAAATTCCACCTCCATCACCTCAAAATCCAAGAAAATCGTATCTTCCCCTCTTTCTTTAAATATGTTTTCATGCTTAAAAATTCAGGACTTAATCATTTTTTAAAAAAATGATTCAAGCCTTCCAAATATGCAATACTACTTTCTTAGTAATATAATTTATTTATTTATTTTTATTAAATCCATTTTCCAAAGAAGTCAAAAGATACTTGCAATATATATAAAATACATAATTATATATATATATATATATATATACCTTAAAAACATATTTTCTTCTCTCCAATAAGTCTGAATGGACATTTAGATTATGTCAATCTATATGCTCACATCACATAAAACTAAATTACTTCCAATCTTTACCATTATATGGCATTCATACCAACAAGAATATCTACACAAACACATATTGAGAATTCAACCAATTATAAAGAAATAATTCAATACAACACTTCAACCATAAATCATTCCAATACATTAATTTAAATACACAAAGGACCTTACATATAAGGGAGAGTCCTTGTTCAATCAATTTCCTGGTCTAAAGCAACCTTTCATACATGTCCAGTACTATAACAAAATCTTCTAAAAATTATGGGTTAACTCTAAAACAACCCAAATTCATTTTATTTGATTAGAACAATAGAGAATTATTTCCTTATGGTTCTTAATGCCACCTATTGAAATAAAATCATCCCACCCCTTACCTTAAGGATGTTCTTTGATGAGGGTATGGATGAATTTTTTTTTTCTGATTCTTTAGAAAAACTTGAACAATCCAATCTTCGAAACGATCAACCTAATCAATTAATCATGCCTAAACATAATTAATACTAAGGAGATGCTAATTTTATACTCTTATATGTATATGTAAAAATTGAAATTTTCTAACTTTTGCTATAAAAGTCCGATTAACACAAAATTAGTTTCTATCATCTAACTAATATAAAAGGAATAAAATGGAAGTGAAAAACACTCACTTCACCTTCTCTAAAACCACATGGCAGCCAACCCTTGTGAGGGTTTAGTGCTTTTTAATCACATTTTTGAAAAACTAATCATGTAAACAATATAAGCCATGCATAGTCTACATATAGTACAAAAGAAAGCAAGTTTAAAACCAATAATTTTGAAGCAAAGTAAGACCCATTTTTACTGTTCATGACAGCAAAAAAAAAAAGGAAAAATTAAAATTTTAATCGGATAAAATGATAATTAACAAATAATTAAGCTTAATTAAGGATATATATTAAAAACATACCTTAAAACAAGCTTAAATGAGTGGAAGAAAATGAAAATGGTGAAAGGGAGAAGAAGGGGTTATGGACTTGGAGAAGAAGAAGGTTCACGTAAGAAAGTGGTCAATTTAGTCAAATAGGTAAAGAAATAATAATATAATAATCAATTATTTTGCTATTTTAATGTAATTAAATAAAATAATAATGAATAAAACTCAAAAATAAAAATAATTGATGCCAAACAATTAAAATAATTATAACATAATTTTTGACATCAATATCTCCTTGGTTATCACTTAAAAAGAAAAAGAAAAAGGAAAAAAACTAATCACACAGTTCCTATTAACACATAAAACAGTATCAACCAAAATCTAAAAATAAGCAATAATTACCAAAATAATTATTTTTACACTCCAAATATTATTTCTAATTAAAAATATAAATTTTATTATTTAAAATAATTCTTCGTAATTAAAAATACTATTTTTATCCTCATAGAGCAATTTTAACCGGTATAAATGAGCAATTATTTTTATTTTTATTTTTTTTATTATTATTTTTTCCAAAAAATTGAAGAATTATAATCTAAATTATAATTATATTAACAAATTAACTGTTTAGAAAAACGAGGATGTTACATAATACATATAAACATTATTATTAAATAAATCAACACATATATAGATATATATACACACACATATATATATATATATATATATTAATAATGATTAATATTCTAAAATTTGAGGCGTTACATGACATGTTATATAAAATTTAATAATCAATTATATTTTTAAAAACTAAACATTTATTAAAATAAAGTAATATAAAGTTGATCCATTCAATAAAAATCTTCAAATCAATAATTAAATTAATTAATCTGATATTTTATAAAGATTCATTATGTGACATAAGTGTCTAAGTATATTTAATTTCTTAATCAATATAATATGTATTTTATTATATTAATTTAAAATATTTAATTAGTTCAAAAAGGATAATTATTAAATATTATAGCTAATTAATTAGTAAATGAGTTTAAAATGTTTTCTTATATTTAATCTTTTTAACAATTTTTGGTAAATTAAATATACTCTTCTAATGAACAAAATTTTTAATAGGAATGTTGTGTGGATTTTAAAAAAAAAAGTATAAATGTGATATGTCTACATACAATTAAGTACACTTATATATGACTACAGCTTCTTCTAATAAAATTCTTCTAAATTTTTATTTTGAATTTTGAATTTTTTAATCTGTTAATTCATTTTTGCTTTTCTTATTTCATCTATACGTTTCTTAACCTTTTATATTTACAACCTTTCAAATTCAAATTTTGTATTTTTATTGTTACTTCTTTTTTTATTTTTTAAAATAAAAATATCATGATTTCCAATAAATTAAAATATAGTATTATTTTAATTTTAATACATATTTCAAATAAAAATTGATGCAAAACCCATTTAATTTCTTAAGAATTATTTATACATACTCATGTGTGTGGTCTGCCTGTGTTTATTTGTTTGGTCTAAGAAAGTTGTCTTGACCCTTAATCTCAATTAAATACAGCCAATCACCTGATGAAGACAAAATAGAATAAAAACACATAATTAAATTATTAGGTATATAGAAAGGTATAAATTTTTTAATAATTTTATTTATTTGGTATTTTAGCCAACATTAAAGATTAAGAACATAACAATTAGAAGATACTGATTAACAAGATAGTATTAATATAATATATTTCAAATTTTTATCAAATATTAATTTATCGATAAAACAATATCTATGTGTTAGTTACTATAGTTAGAAATACAGTTTCTTTTTCAATTATTAATTCAAATGCCATTTAGTTTTTACTCTTATTTAAATTTTTTATTTATATTGATAAGTGAAAAAAGAAAATATTCAAAGACATTAAATATTAAAATATAAATATTATTTAATAAATTTAATTAATTGAAAATAAATTTATCATAAAATAATATCTTCATCTTAATTAGTATTTTTTTTATTTTCTAAGTTCTCAATTGAAATGTCACTTATTTTCTTGTTTTCAAATATGTTATAGTGGCCATGGTTAAGGAAACAAGAATAAATATACTTCATAAAAAGTTTTTATTATGTTAAAAACATTTTTTAATGCTTATGTTTTAAGTAATTAAAAATATTTAATACAATATAATAAGTATTTATTTACTATTTCTCTTTATCGGATTCAACTAAATGATTTCAATTAATCAAATTAAAATAGTAAGTATTAAATTATTTTCTATATATTTAATATAATAAATGTTTTATAAATTAATAAAATGTATTTAATAAAACATACTGAATGCTTGTTAGTCAATGTTGAAGTATTAAGATCAGTAATGTTTTTAGGATAATTTTTTTATACTATTAATAAGGATATTTTAACATATAAAAATTGAATTAATATGTTTAGTTTCCTATATTAATTTCAACCCATTCCTTAATCAAGTGTTTGCAATTCTATATATGAGCTCCCAAACGTATTCTCCCTTCACAAATTACTTTGACACTCTTAATCTTCCTAAGTGTGTGTATTTATTATCGTATACTCTAGTTAAATATGCTGGGGTTCACTTGTATTTTGATTCTTTGTTTTGTTTTTCACCCACTTTGTGTCTGAGGAGGAGTGGATCAAATAAAATGATTTATTTTAATGTGATGGAATATGGAGCTTGTGGCGATGGAAAAACTGATGATTCACATGTATGTATAGATATTAGTTTATGTTTTATTGTTAATTTCTATATAATATAAGATGTATTTTAATTGATGTTATAGGCATTTTTAAGTGCATGCAATGCACGTGTGAAGCAGAAAATGCAGCAACTCTAGTCATACCACCAAGAAAAGTGTTTTTGGTGAAAAAACTAAAGCTAAACGGTCCTTGCATGGCTACAAATATTTGCATTGAGGTATAGCTAATATCCATTTTTTTTTATCAGATTATTATATGTTAATGGTGTTTTGGAAATATATGTGAATGTTGTGAGAAAACTATTTGATATTCATTCATTCAGGCTTTGATGATAAGATAAGGTAAGGGTATTTTGCAGTTTAATTTTGATTAATTTTAAGTAAAGTTTCATTCAATTTGATGCTAAAAATAAAGTTTAATTTAATTTAATTAGATAAAATGTAATATTAAATTGAATCTAATCGGGTCAGTTATTTGATTTTTCTTTTTAGAGAATACATATATTAAATAAAACTTTAAATACAAAATGAAAATAAGAAAAATATTTATGTAAAATGTTTAATATTTCATCGTAAGATATTATATAGGTCAATTTATAACTACTAACTAAAATAATTTGAATTTTTTAAAAATATAAATAAATTGACTCATATAAATTCAAATCAAATTAAAAAGAAAAAAGAGTGAGAGGAAAATGTAACTCTCTTTTTTGGTGAGCACTATTTCAAAACTTCTGAATAACAATAGAGAATAACTCAAATCAAATTAAGTATTCTTTCATGAGAATAATTATTCAAAACTCTCTCTGTCATAAGGAGCTACTTACTTGATTTTATATTTATTTTAATTTCCAATTTTCTTGCAGCATGAAGGAAAAATAATTGCACCATCTAAGGATGCATGGGTTAGTGATAACTCAAGTTGGATTGTGATGTCAAATGTAAACGATTTAACAATTGATGCCAAAAGAGGAATGATCGATGGCTATGGCTCTACTTGGTGGCAATGCAAAAGTTGTAAACGACCCAGAGTATGATGATTCCAAACTTTGTTCTCCCACAATTAATACTTGGCATAATATTATTTAACATAATTAGAACAATTAAATTCAAGATCTTGTGATTATAGTTTTCAATTTTGAATACTTTTTGACTAAATTTTTCATGTGGATGTGATTCAGGCCTTGCGTTTCCATCGTTGTAATGGTCTTACTGTGAATTATCTAAGGACCATGAATAGTCCTGGAGCTCACATATCTGTAAGTGGTTGCGAGGGTGCAAAATTCTCTCAAATCAACATTCATGGTCCTGTCCACAGTCCCAACACCGATGGATTCGACATTGCTTCTTCCAAAAATATTTTGATCCAAGATTCCACTATAGGAACTGGTAAATCAAGTTTTTATCTAATATATCAAATTTATGACATAACTGATTATTTTTTCTGCATTAAAAAGTTGGGAAGTAGTAATTAGCAAAACCCTTTCAATAATTAATGTAAGTGTGACCTTAATTTAATCTGCCTTTGAAAATTGGTGATGATTGTATTGCTATCAATGGTGGCTGCTCTAACATCAGTACTGTTGGGGTTGCTTGTGGACCAGGCCATGGAATAAGGTCTATGTATACAAATTGTATCATAGTTTATATTGCGTTCATTTTTATAAAATAGACCTAACAGAGAGTTTTAAGTACATATATGGAAGTGCTATCCTCAACTTAAATATGTGAAAAATAAAGTTTAGTATCTTATGGAATCATCACATAAATGAGTCTTGACATGAAACTGTTTTGATATTAATATTTTTGTTATTGCAATTTTGTGATTTCTCTTTTTGACACTTCACATCAAATTTGTATGAATGAATCAGCATTGGCAGCCTTGGTAGAAATCAAGGTCATGAGACAGTTGAAGAAGTTCATGTAAGAAATTGCAGCTTCACAGGAACCACAAATGGAGCCAGAATCAAGACTTGGCCTGAGAGTAAATGATATAAGGGGTGAAATGTTTTTATTTTTAACATTTTCTTTATTTTCATTGTTTTTCGTTGGCTCAAATCATGTACTTAGGGAAATAAGCATGATTGGTGATATATAAACGTAGTGTGCTACTGGTTAAAGTGTTTAACCGAGTATAAATATTTATACTTGAGACAATAAAATATGAATAAGCTGAGAGATATATATTCAGTTCTAAAGAAGTACTAGTAATACTATGTTCTTTTTAACATATTTTAATTTCTACATATGAGTGAATTTTACGTTAGTTTAATTAAATAAGAAATGATATTATCTTATGGGTTGATTTTGCTTTAATTAAAAATATAATATTAAAAAAAGTGTTATTAATGTTTATCTTTACATGTATGATAACAAAAAAAAAAAGATTGTTTGTTCACTTTCTCTCACTATTTTAATATTTTGTAAATATTATTTATGCAGGGAGGATCAGGTTATGCAAGAAAGATCACCTTCGAGCAAATAAAACTAACAGATACTCGTAACCCAATAATTATAGACCAATACTATGGACATAACATTTCATCGGTATATTCATATTATTTATCGTGACTTCAATTTTATTTATTTATTTATTGTTTGTTTCTTATTATGATTGTGTTTTGAAATTGGGAAAAATAGGATGCAGCAGTGAAAGTGAGTGAAGTGACTTATCGGGAGTTCAGTGGAACTTCGAGTGATGCCAAAGCAATCGATTTACGATGCAGTAAATTAGGCTGTTTCGGTATCATATTGGATCAAATCAACATAGTCTCTGCTGAACAAGGAAAACATGCCTATGCTTCTTGCAAAAATGCTCATGGAATCGTTTTATCTTCTATTCCCAGTGTCTCTTGCTTGTTGAATTGAATTCTCACCATCCTTGTATATCTGAAAAGATATATATTTTTTAATAAATAATTATATTTGTAATTTATTATGAAATTTAAATTTTGTATTTGGATAAGTTAGATAAACAGATTGATTGACATTGTATAGGTCAAAACTCACATCATATAGTTATCAAATTCAAACAAATTAATAAGGTTAGTTTAAGTAGTATTAATACACACCATTAAAACAAGAGAATTCAAATATATTAAGGATAATATTCAATAATTAGACAGAGAAAAATAAAAGCGAAAGAAACACGGGAAGAAGATATTCAATAACAAGTCAAATGAAATTTAATGAGATTTCAAAGATCATGAATATTAAATTCCCATAAAAAAATATTATAACAATAGATAAAAATTCACATGTTATTTTTAATTAATTTTAATCTCAAAATATACACCTGAGAAATTATCAAATAAAATAACTTTAACATTTAATAGATTTTATTAAAAACAATCAATTAAATATTTTCATATAATCAACCATTGAGTATATAATTTAATATTTTTCAACAATGAGTCATATATTATAAAAAATATTTACAGTAATAAAATTAAAAAAAAATCTTTAATTACATTTTATAAGATTATAAATATCATTAAATATGAATCTATATATATATATATATATATATATATATATAACTAAATAAATATTTTACACTATTTTTTATGAAATATTCATATATATATATATTTATTAAAACTATTAATAAAAATATTGAAAATATATTTAATATATGAAATTTTAATTATGTTTAATATTAAATATAAATAATATCCTGTCAAAAGAAAAAAGGATATATGACATACAGAACTCAACGTTTAAATATAAATAAAAATATAGTTAATAACTCATTAGTTTCCAAATTATAATAAGAAATACATCAAATTTAATATTTATTTAATAATAAATTAAATATATAATTAGAAAATATAACTAGTTTTAAAAAACATTTATTTATATAAATATAAGTTGAACTATAATTTTTCAAAAGAAATATTATAATTTAAAATATCATTCATAATAAAATTGTATAAATTAAATTAATAAAATAATTTGAAAAATATGTATATATAAATATAAGATATATTACAATTTTATAGCTTATAACGTAACTTATACTTTTGTATGTATATAAAGTGATAAAGAATATTAATTTAGATTAAAAATTATAAAATACACTCATCATGGTAACAAAATTAGACAAAATATTTTTTTATTAACCATCATTTGAGATAATTATGACACTCTTCCTTTATTTAAATATTTATTTTGTTATATATAAATTTAGATAAAATTTAATTAAAATAGATAAAAGATATGGATAATTTATATAAATCTAAAACTAATAAAAATCAACAAAATTTTAAAATTTTATATATATGTCTCATCGTATTAGATATGAAAGTTGATGTTTGCAATATAAATTTTAAATTAAATAAAGCTTGAAATTACATTTTAGATAATTAATTTATTTAATGTTTATAATTAATATATATATATATATATATATATATTACAAATTTATAATATAAATAAAATTCTTATTGCAACAATTTAAATTTATTCCTAAAGTTGGATGTAAATTACAATTAAAATAATTATTTATTAAACATTACAAATGCATCTCAAATCATTATTTACAATAAAATTTATCAAAATATTATAAATTTTAAAGTCGACATCAAATTATTTATATTTCAATATCAATTTTCCTTACTTGAAAATAAATCTTTCACAACAAAGAGATGAGAGATGATACCTTTAAGATCAAGTTCTTCTTTAAACCCAAAGAAAAGGTGCAATGTTTTGATAGAAAATATTGTCCAAAAGACTAAATTCTTCCTAAGTTTTACAAAGTGGAACAACTTTTGAGTAAAAAGAAAATAATGAAATAGAAGTAAGATTAGAAGATTAAACTCCAACAACTTACATAGAATCAAGTAGGAAAAGATGTCTAAACTTGGATTTAAGAGAGATTTGAAGAGTAATGGTGTTTTCTAGTTGAGGAAGGGAGGGAAGAGGGGATTGAGTGAGATGAGAAATAGTTATTTGCTTTGAAATCTATGTTTCAAAAGTATCAAAGTCACTTAAATACTCCTTTTTCTTGAAGATTTTCATTTGAGTGAGAAAATCAAACAAAATCTTATACACATTTGCTGATATTTTTGTTTGAGAGAGGTAATTAAACCTTCTAAAGAACTTCTATTTCTATCACTCATTTTACTTGAGTAAGAAATATCTTGCTTGAGCGAAATTGAAGTTAAGAAATTCCTATCCATTCGATCTTACTTGAGCTAAACACATTTATTTTTACAAAAGCAATATAAGTTAGAGTATTGCATCTCTTTCACCTTTTTAGATATTTTGCCTTGAAATTTACTCATTAACGATAGTACTCTAGACACTTTAAAGCCCTGTTAGCTCCAATAGTTGATGAAACCTTTCAAAATACAAGATTCCTATTTGAAATGCTAAAGACTTCTTGCATCAACTGTAGTGGCTCTTTTAGCAATCTTGTGATGATTTTATCTTCTCTCTAATCATGTAAATCAAGTTCCTAAAGTTCTTTGTAAACTTTCTCAGAACTTCAATGTGAATCTTGAATCTTTGTCTGATACAATACTCATAGGTACTCTATGCAGCCTGACTATTTTTTTAACATACAATTTTGCAAGTTTCTCCAACTTGTATCTCATGTTAATCGAAAGAAAATGCACAGTTTTTGTTAGCCAGTCTACAATCACCCACACCGCACCATAATAAAACTCCAAGTCCTTGCCTTTGTCTTTCTGCTGTGTATTTTTTGCAAATATTGAGCTTCATGTTGTGCAGCTCAAACTTAAGTTAGAAAATTATTGTTAATCTTCAAAGCTCCAAGGTATAAGCTTTTAGGTCGTACTTCTATGATAAATTCAAGTTTCTAAATTCTTCAATCAACTTCTACTCTTTTATCATAATTGTTATATGTGCAGGAGTTTTCTACTCAGTGCATCTGTCATTACATTAACCTTTCTTGAATGATAAAACAATGAGAAATTACAATCCTTTGAGAATTTCATCTACCTCCATTATCGCATGTTAAGTTTTTTTATCGAACAAATATTTCAAACTTTTGTGATTACTAAAAAGCTTTAAATTCTGCTGAATAGGGATAGTGCGTATAGATATTTTTTGCGTTGCTGATTCCAAACAATCATCAAATAATTACTTCAGGTGGTTTTACTTGTCTATAAGCGTAAGCAACTGTCCTTTCCTTTAATTCTTGTCTTGATGTTTCACAATAATCTTCAAGTGTTTTTCTTTTTTCTAAATTTGACAAAGCTAAAATTAATATAAATATCAATTGTTTCTCTCGTTCTTTTTTCTAAACAAAACTTGATTAACGATAATGCTAATTGAAAAAATTCTTCAATTGATTCGTAAGATCATTTATTATCGACAGCAAAATCTTATTTTTGATGTTCACTATATTAAGCTGATAATAAAGATGAGACTGCATTAGCTGCATATATGAGTTATAATAATGCACAATCTATCCCGCATAATTGTTTAACTCGACCACGACACAGCAAAGATAAGCAGAACCGACAAGTCACTCACAATAATTAGTCTCAACTTTTAATTAAATTATTATAATATCTAACTGCTTCATTGCTAAATTAATTAATGGGTAACTCCTGTTAGAGGCTACCCTTTGTTGTATATTTAATAATATTAGATTGAAGACTTAGAAGAAAAGATGGTTTGAGTGAGATAGCTAATTACAAAAGTGTCCCTGTGATGGGCAGATATAAGAGCAATAGTGTTTCTGCTGCAGCCATTGCCAATCTCAAACTGAACACAGTGAAATCTATTCTCTTCTTCATCAGATCTAAGGAATATGGAAAACGTTCCATTTGCTGTTGCGTCCAATCTCATTCACAGGTTCCTTTTTCCACCCTTTCTTCGATTTAAACAATAACTATCCATTTTTTAATTCATCCATAACATGCTTAGCTTATAGTTTAGGTTTTTCTATCCCCTATTTTCTTAGTTCCCCTTTTTTTATGTCTAACAATTTAATATAGTGTGTCATGATAAATTTTTTTTAATTAATTAAATCTAAAACATTTAAACTTAATGAAAAAATAAATATAACAAAAATTAATATAAAAACATTCCTAAGTACTCTTTTATTCGAGAATGAACACAGGTGCACGCAAAAAAATTCATGTGATACAGAATTACAATAAATTACTATCGATGATAATTTCTATGAGACATAAATAAGTAATTCATCAACATTAATAAAAAATAATTATGTGTTATAAATTAATGCTACGTTGAAATTTTTTTATTAAATAATCAAATTCAACTTATATAGTATATCCTGTTTTATTAGTTAACTAGATTAATTATAATATTTTCGTAAGGTATCTTAAACAAGGAGATTTTGGAGTGATAATTGACCAATTTTGTTCTCCTGTACTAAAATTAAAAAAAATAAATATAAATTTTTAAATGTATTAATTATTAAATTCTTTTCATACTCTTATCTACAGTGGATATGGAATTATGATGCGTAAGGATTTGTAAGTGAACAGGCCATGAACAAATCATGATTCAATCAATTGAATTTGTAGATTGTTATTACATGTTTACCCTTTTCCTCGATACTTATGCCAATATTTTTACACATTGCTCAAATTATGATTCTATGTAGTCTTTCTTAATCATTTTAATGATGGCTGAGTCAGTTCCATTCGCTGTTACTTCTAATCTCAGGTTGGCTTCTACAGATTTTCTTGAATTTGGAAAGCACTATGATGTGACGGAAGAGTTGGAAGAGCTCAAGAACACTATTGAATCCATCTATGATAAGCTCCTTGATGCCGAAGACAAACAAGATCAAAACCGTGGTGTGCGAGTTTGGATTAGAAGGTTCAAAAAAGTACTTCATCATGCAGATGACTTATTAGATGACCTTG